GTCTTGGCTTTCTTAAAAATTGATGGCTATTAAATATTAATTTTTTGAAAAAAAAATAAAGTCATCGGCAGGTAGCTCTCTCTCAAGTATTTTATAATTAATACATCTTATATGGTCAAAGAATTATCCACGTTTATATAAAGAAAAAGAATTATTCACCTGAAATATATTACTTTTAAGCAAAGTTGATTTCAATATTGGGTGATCTTGTGTCAGGACTTGTCAAAAGAAACTTAAGAGGTTATATGGAAAATTGTCCAGAGTATGGACTCGACGGGATGCAATAATTGAAGATTGTTTGATTGTAATTATAATATTTATTTGTTTATGTAAATCTTATAAAAAGATAATTACACTTTGTTATGTGATAGTTCAATTATTTTTGAGAGAGGGAGAATTGTATTTTATATTTTTTTCAAGAGACAGGATAGGATTATTATGTATTAACAAACCTAACCCAAGGTTATATGTTTAAGAAGAATATTAGAATTCAATACAGAATGGGAAGTAAGCTTGTACCAAGAACCAAAATGATGTAAGCTGTTCATATTCGAAGTCCGAAGTCCAAAGTCCACTCTATTCATAGTAGACAATGATAGCGACGTAAGTATTGCCAATCAAAATCCTTGAAAAATGTGGATTTGTTCATTAAAAAAGCAGGGGAAGAAACACAAAGTCGGCTGGACAAGCTGGAGTCAATCAGAAAAATCATATGTTTCTTCGTTTTTTAATTAGCAGGAAATTTCTAGGATCCCTCAACCATGTGAGGCTAGCCACTTTCCGAACTCCAAAAACTGGCAGAAAGGAACATCGAAATGGGACAAGTGCCTCCCTGATCCACATAAAGGGCTTTCACAATTTCTCCCGTTAAACACTCCATTTAGTTTCTGCTTGACCCTCCAGCGTGTGAAACAAGGGAAAGATTGTTCCTGTATCTTCACTCGCCCGAATGTAGTGGGAAAGCAAGTGAGGATCAGGCATAGAAAATTATGAATGAAATGGACTTTTAAATAATATTGTATCGTGATAAAAATGAAGTGAGATCTGAACCTTCCAGGAAGTGAGCAGTGCTTCTGGGTCAAATACAGAAAGGTCACCAGTTATACTGTGATTACTGAGATTAATAGGATTGTTAATGGGTAAAGCATTCATTAATTTTAAAATACTTAAATCTTAACTAAAAAAAAATTTCAAATCTTATTAATTATATGAATAATTTTAAAAATTACTATCTTAATCTTAACCTTAATACATTTCAATTATCCAATAATTACCCTAATTAATTTAAAAACTCAATTAGATGAAAAAATTATTAAAATATTTTTTCATAAATATCTAATTATCTGAACCCGTAATCATATATAATAATATTTTTATATATTTTATATAATTAACTACTAATTAAATTAATAAAAACACAAATACTAAATTTAAATTTAAATAATTAAAAACTATAAAGTGTGTTTATAAATGAATATAGTATATAATATAAATCAATATTATTTTATTATTTAGTAGTTATTAACTTATATAATAGTAATTATATTATTTATAAATAAACAAATATATAATATAAAGTGTATGCATTAAAAGACATTACAAGTTATATATTATAAAGTGTGTGTATATATATATTATAATTAATAATTTTATAAGTTATAATTTTTAATATTAACACAAAATAAAAAGTAAATATATTTATATTAAAAGTATATATATTAAAAGTATTTTAGTGCATATATATAATAGTAATTATATTCCCTATAAATGAACCAAATATCTATAAAGTATAGATATTAAAAGACATTATAAGTTAATTAATAATTATAGTTTCATTAATTAATTAAATTAATTATATGAGTTTATCCTTAATTATATGAAATTAAAAAAATATTTCAAAACTATTATAATCTCATAACTTCTTTATAGCTAATTAAGTTTTTATATTATAAGTTTATATAAGTAAAATTATATATATTATAATTAATAATTTTATAAGT